CAAATGAAACTCAAAGTTTGAGAGTCCGGGGACTGCATAGCAGTCTATGGGGAAAAATTTCCTCATCAGGAAGTGATAACCTCCACAAAAAACACGCCCAAAGAATCACGGTCGGGATCCTACTCGTTCCATATAATGAAAACCTTCCAATTATCAATGTAATGGTAGAGAAACGTCCCTGATAGCGTCTACCAGGGACGCATCCTCACGACGCAGTTGACTAAATCCTGGGAGAGGCGGCGACGCCAGGCATATGTCAAAGTTTCAAGCACAGAATAAGACCTTCACAGAACAGAAACATAAATGGCGCTAAATTGTCACTGATTATACAGCGTTTCCCGTGGTTGTACGGAGAACTATTTATCGCAGACTCAAATATTTTTTTGCAAAACCTGTAATTTTGCTCGTTACAGGAAATATATTTACCGTCGATTTTATACGTACACAGGTTTTCCACATGTCAATTTTGACTTTTGAAAGATTTAAAATTTGACCAAGTTATGTGACCGTAAAAAGTGTTGTGTGTCGGATTGTAACAATAAAATATCAAAAAGGCATCGTTTCCCACATTTTGAAACAGCTTGTTTTGTGCTTGAAACGCGAAGAGGGTTGAAATGTGCTGTTATTTCTTTCCTATTTATGCAAGGTAGGTAACAGGTACAAATTGACGCAGAATTATTACCAACTGTACCTATAGGCGCAAAAGGGTGTAGACTTGAGTTTTATATTTATATAGATGTAGATACTTATATTGTAATTCGTTTTAGATAATTCAACAACTTCCACCCTCGCTTCTCAACTAACCAGTAAGCACCAGGATCAAGTTAACATTTGTTGCCAAAAACTTGTGTGACAATTTGCTGAAACGGTTTTATCACCTCTTGGAACAAAAAATTTAGTTCTAAAGATATTTTTTGACAAAAATATGTAGTCCAAACAGCAATTAAAACCAAATATTTCGTAGGGCAACTCGTTACGTAAGGATCTTTTTGCAAGGTGTTAACTTCTACAAAGCGTAAGTTGCACTTACTTCTGAGTTTTATATGTAATTTGCACGATACACTTACACACGGTATGCTCATTATTTTTCTCAAACGCGTTTTCTACTGCGCATTACGTCACCTGCGAACGTGTGGCGCCAAAATTCAAATGTTTACGCACGGAAAAATCCAGTACAGATGTCACGCGTGACAGTTTGCACCTTTTCAGTTGTATTTACGAGTTTTATAGCGTTAATTTGTTGATAGCTAAGCATTAATGTGTTGATAGCTAAGTAATCATTAGTGAAAATTCCAAAATGCCAGGTTGTGTGTGGAAATAAAATAGGTACTTTCGATTTCCGAAAATGGAAGACTTTTCTCTAAAATGGATTGTTGCAAGTCGTCGTAAGGACAAAATTACCTTGAAAAATGGTGTTACATTATTATTAAGTGGTGTGTTTAAGTCTTTCCATTGCTGTTTAATCCTATATCCTGTATTTGTTATGAACATTTTGAAGCCAGCCGTTTTGAAGCACCGCTAAGGGAACGACTTCTTAATTAGACCTACTTTTAAAAACAGCGGATGTTTGAAACCTGATGCTTTACCTACTTTAAAACTACCGCGTAATAATGAAAATCAAAATAAAAGGGACACGGAGGAGAGATTAGATCTTTTGATAACGCATTAATTATATAATTTTTACTGAAACAGCCGCATTTCATGTTTAGGATCAATTTTGGTTAGAGTTTATTTCACACGATCACGAAATCCCAGAAATAACTTACGCGAGGATCTCTACACAAATCAGTATGATTTGTCAACTAACCTTGTGATTTGTCGATCTAAGCATCGTAATTTTGCTCTATATTCTGTGGTTTTGTTCGCACGTGACGTCACGCTAGATGCGCAAGAGCATACCGTTGTAAGTGTATCGTGGTAATTTGTAAACATGTAATTTAAGATGTTTGTGTTAAATAATGTAATGTGATTGTATCTAAATATACTTGCAATTTAACAACTGTGTATTCTTTATCTATATTTGTGATTTAGATCGAATTGGGGAAATTACTTCATGGATTTAGAAGCTGGTCACCAGATGGCGCTACTCTGATTTTGATGCATAGTACACCCACCAGGGTCCGCCAAAATACCATACAAATTTGTAACATTGCTGTTTCTATTCTGAGAAGGCCGTATTCTGTGGTTTCAAGTTTCAACTTGCGTGAACGTCAAAGACGTGCCTAGGTACTAACGGTTTATAGGGATCTTACTCGTTTCATATATTGAAACCTTCCAGTTATTAATATAATAGCTAGGGTAAACGTCGAAGACGTATGTACCTACTTACGGTTTATATATAGGGATCCTATTTGTTTCATATAATGAAACCTTCCTGTTATTAATATAATAACTAGGGAGAAACGTCAAAGACGTACGGTTTATAGAAAACCACCATATGTTTGTAATTAATCTGAATGTTTGGCCAACTTCTTCCTAATAGCGTGAATTTCGACGGTTTCTTTATCGACGCAGAAAAAACCTGCTTCTCTTAAAAAAACCATAATAAACACTAAAACCGAAGGACGCAAGAAAAAACGAAGTGCAGCGCGTGACACACAAAAAAACAATGGCGTATTGCATTAGCGTAGATCATGTAGAGACCTGCCTTACCTACATTTTTTCTTTGTTTTTTAAATGTGTGGCGCGTAACTCACAGATGAGCTACTACATATTTATCACTCGGAAGAGAGCGGAATACAATTGGCTTCTGATTGAGTAACATGTAGAAGGAAATGATGTTTGACAGTGCATTTTTTGCAATGACCGAAATTACAATCATTCAACTGATTTAAACAATTACACATAAATTGGATCTGTTAACCAAATCAATTCTTTCAGAAACGGACAACTTTAAGTGCAAATTTTGTGGTTTGGAGCACTGCACGCTGAACATAAACGGTTTGAAGTATGAAATCTTTTTTGAGTATAGGAATTACATTTTTGAAAAACTGTTTGTGATTTGGACGATTGTGCCTTTACTGTTTGGGCTGAATTTGCCTCTGTATTCTTCTCTTCCATTTTCTTAAGCATTTTTGCCTTTTGTTTTAAAAATGAAAGTAAATTCTCTAAATTGGGTGAATCATTTAGAAATTCTTTAGATTCCCACTCTCTGATTGTCACTGGATCAAGTTTTGTAAATATTAAATATGTAATTAAAGTATCCCAAGATTCTGTCGGTTGTCCTAATGCTTTTAAAGACCTTAAGTGCATTCTTACATGGTCCACTAAATGGCTGAGATTTTTTGAAGATTCCTTTTTGATAGATTCAATATCAAATAAAGCTTTAGTATGTACATGTGACAATGCACTTTTTATCTGTAAATTGTTCACATAATAACTCCCACGCTATTGAGAAATTGTCATTTGTAACTTGAATATTGGCTATACTTTCAAAAGCTTCACCCTGTAAGGCTCTCTTCAAATAATGAAAACGTTGAACATTACTAATACGACTATTATTATTACTTAAGCTTTCAAATGAATCCCTAAATTGTAACCAGTCACTTGACTCACCTGAAAATGTTCTTGTCTCATTTTCTGCATAATTGCTGTGTAATAAACCTTGCGCACGTGATATTGTTGAATGACACTCGTTTTCAAATTGTTCACGGGCATTATATTCACTTTCCAAATCTTCATCCTTGATTAGACATTCAATTTCTAATTGTATAGCAAGAAATTCATCCAACTATTCCAACAAACTCTCATAAGATGAAATTCTGTTTTTAATTTCTCTCCCGTAAATCACGAGGTAAATCATAATGACTGAGAACTGTATTTGTCAATGTAAGTCGACAGCGACAACGGGTCAGCCGTTTATCCGGAAATGAGAATACAGACAGACAAACCGACAGACCGACAGATCGACAAACCGCGATGGTCATCATCGAGATTTTGTTTGGTTCAGAGGCCTGGTATTTTAAAACGTGTATTTCCGCCATACAAGTGGGGGGAGGGGGATCATTTTTTACCCCAATGCCTTACTAACGTGCGGGTGGTAAAAAGAATAAACCCAAATATTTGCACTTCGAAATGCATTGCCATTGGTGCAACCTCACAATAAATAACATTCACAATTTAAAGCTCTTAAAATCTTTTTAGAGTAATCTTCGGATCTACTAGAGTACCTATTTCATAGGATCTTCTTTCAAAACCTTTCAAACATAATCTTCACGTTAGGTACTTAGAGCATTGTTCAAACTTAGAGTTTTCTGTACCTAAATCTGAGGATCCTCCCAGAATTCTCTTAAAACCTCCTAAGAACACAAATCTGAAGAATAACACGCAAGACGCACTGCACTTGTGGATGATAATTGGGCATTTCTAGAACTCCGGATAGCTCAAGAGCAGTGCTTTCTCACCTAATGTGGTCCTTTTTCCACCTTTTGCGTTATTTGTATTTTTGTATGTATATTTTTTTTCCCTTTTCTGTTAGTTTGGTGGAAATAAACATTATTATTATTATTATTATTTCCAAAATGGCGATGTCTCAATTTTACATTGGTTAGTGCTCTTCTTTCAACCAATCACAGTTGTTTTCCAAAACCCATGCAATTAAAAAAAAACGTCAATGATGCAATTTCTACGTGTACTTGTGATATGGATGCAACGTAAGAAATGTAATACTAGACGAATCGAATCGAATGTAACCCGATACAAAAACTATAGTTCCTGGTGTGAACCAGTTCAATTAAAGAAAAACCTATTGAAAAAAACACGCAAAAATACTCCACATACGACAAGATACTGTGACAAGGGCCAAAGTACGCTAGTTTAAGAACGGACTTTATTAACTAAATTCCTCAATAAGTAATAATAAAAACTAATATGTGAAAAGGCGCATTGTTACCTTACCAAACATAATAAATAAGTTATCTGGTTACCCTCCAGCATATATTTCAAACCATCCACAGCTATGATACACGATCAAATAATAACTTAATGAATGTATGTTTAAAGTTTATTATAGAATATACATTATAGAAATATTAGAGATATAATTTATGACTATGCAACTGCAGTTAATCTATGAAAATGGAGTCATAGGGGAAAGCTGCAAGTATTCTTTCCATCGTGGTTCTATAAGCATGAGCGTAAATTTGCTCATAGCCTGTTTTCAGATCCCTTAAAGCGAGTTTCCAGTTGTAATTGAAAACGTTATCCTTGACACGGTCGTGTTTAGGATCCTTGGTCTTAAATTGATATGCTATCCTCGAAGAGGAGAGTTGAAGGTTCAAATCGACAAGTTTTATATACCTGTCATTTTTTCGCTTTTCAATTTCTCCGGTCATGTTGAAGTCGGCTTTGAACCCCTCTGGAAGACAATCATTTTGAATTGGTATCGTTGGCGAGTGGAAACCATAACTTACTATGCACATAGGTTACCTGTCCTTTACTGCTTACTTGGAAGAATGTAGCATTCTTAAATTCAAAATTAGCTACAAATATTACTTCTGGATTAGTTACTGATACATTAAAAGTCATAAGATTTCCACCGATAATATTATTTCTTTAAGAAGTTACTTCATCAGTAGGCTTATTAAACTTACACTTACCGTACACTCTCGACCTCATTGAAAGCATGATTGTACAACTTTAAATTTGTGTAAATTTGGTTATGACCGATATGCTTCGGTCCTAGATTTACAGACCATGATTTAATTTTTATTGGCTGTATGTCATTGACTTTAAGACTTGTCGGGTCTGCAATGTACAAATTTAAAACGACGGATCTCTCGAAGCTTGCTTACCAGTTTGAAGAACATTGAAGATAGTTTGCAATTGCCTCTTGAAACATCCACTGCTGGTTGGTGTACATCTTATTATGGAAGGTGCTGAAAGTTCAATAATAATATTGTGACCGACCAGTTACAAAATACAGTAAGTCACTTACGCAACTCCGGTTTTCCGTTGCAGTTAAAAAAGATAAACACAAAAACAAAAATGATATGTAAATACATGCTGAGCCTATAATAGTGGCGCTGGAAAAAATTGGGTATTTATAGGCACCTAGATAACAAAACAAATCTTATCTTTTCGTCGATGTTTTCCTTATTTTGGTCGGTTGACTTGATAACTCATGAAAACAATATGGCCGACCATAAGATAAGGATCTAAAAACCTTTTGTTTTCGTTCCAATAGTACCTGTGTTACCATAAAGGGTGCATCTTGACATGAGAATTTTGGGCCAAATCTACCAGTTCAGGTACATCGGCTTTGTTTTCTCGTCCAGCCGTTCCAGAACCTTTGGTAACACTAGAAAAGTACTTCTGAGACGTAACTCTTTGGTTCATTGGTATAATTTTGAAAGTTCGATTCATGAACGACTCTTGTTATTGCAGCGCAAGGTAAGTAAAAAGTTTACAATCTTATTTGCAATATCCCACTTCAGCAATACGCCCTGATAATATATTACTGATTACTGATTACAAAAAGATTATTACAACATATCGTGTAAGCGTGGGAAGTACTCTCTTATTTAAGTGAAAAATAAGCATCATATCACAAAGGCAAGATGGTAATTTTTTTTACAAGGTGTGATAACTAAAATTTGGATCCCGAAAATAGAAATTAAGCCAAGAGCAAGTCATCATCTCTATAGAGTCACCCTCGCACTACGAGCGAAGAGTTTCGCAGTATTTCTAAAGAAGAAAACAAGAAAGTTGAAAATTTCTACGATGGAATGTCAGTTGTTACCGTAATGCGGAACAATTAACAGTAAAGGTATTTATCAACAATGAAATACGTTGGCACCGTGTTACGCCAGTCGAGGAGGACCGTGAACACGGGAAGTAATGGACTAGAGCCAAACGACCAGTCTCAGCCGCTTGTAGAAGGGTAGTGGATGACTTGCCCAACTCCAGTGTCTTCCCGGCGTTTGGGTTTCCCTGCCCTGCCGATCGTTTGTGGTGGAAGTTTAACGGGTCGAATGTCGCAATCCCTGAATATAGCAGCTCCTCTGTCTTTAAATTTAGTCGCTGGATTGAGTGGGGTAACATCATAGATGATTCTATAGTCGGTCCGTGCAGAGTGCAGCGGAAGGGGGGCCGGTTTGAGTTCTTGAAAAGGCAGTCGGCATCTTCGCTCCACCGGGATGGGCTTCAGGAAGTTCTCGTCGGATGAAATGACGATCCCCATGGTCCGTACCCCGACGCAGCACTTTCCTAGGGGTACCCGAAGCCGATGTTGCTATAGTCCCTCCCTTGTTATGCGCAGGTTGCGGATGTGTTCCAATTATCGGAATAGATAACGATATTATCGTCTAGATAGACTAATGAGAATTTCCCTAGGAATCCCGTCAAGACCTGTGTCATTAATTTTTTCAACGTCTGGTCATTTTTTTAACCCGAATCACTGGTAGGAGGCGCCATCGAGAATTGAAAATGCTGCCAGCGATGTTGAATCTTCTTTCAAACGCACTGGTAAGCCGGATTTGAGATCGATCACCGAGAATACCTTTGCTGTCCTCATATCTCGGAGAGTTTCCTGGATATGTGGCAGGCTGGGGATCTCACAATCGACCAATGTCAGTCGCTTGTCGAAGAGTAGTGGATGACTTGCTTTACAAGCATTTGGCTCAAATTGTTAGACCGGAAAAGTGAATTAATGTCGTCAAGAATTAATAAATTTTTTAAAAAAACGTCTGTACTTTCTCCTGGAACGAATTGGTAATCAAACCCAATTCTAGGTATTGGGATAACGAATCCACACTCGTCTTTAAAAATCGGATCCAATTTCCAAGAAAATTAATGTTTGGGTCTATTTTCCTAGAAGGAAATTTAACAGGGGAATTATACCAAAGTGATAGATCACACAATGTGGGCATGCTACTATACTATACGAAGAAAAATTGCACTTTCAGCATGATACATTTTGCTATGTAAACAATGTCAATGTGGACGTTGATGTTTGGTCCAGGCGCCTGAATTAATGACTGGTCACTAATGTTCGTCAAATTTGTTCTCAAATTATTTAATTATTCTGGTGGGGTGTCCAAGTGGTTCGTTTTTCTTTTTAAAAAATTAATTCCTAGAATTGTTAAATGTAGGAAAATTCATCGTTTATTTTGCTTTATTAAATCATTTAAGTGGCAGTTCTGTTTTAATGATATGGGCATTTTAATTACTTTTGTTAAAAGAAAGAACAAGAAAGGGATGCGTGATTAACTGTTGTGTTGCTATGTGTCCGATAATTTAAAGAAGATTTTCGAGTTTTGCAAAGGAGGAGAGCGACTTTACATACTGAAGTTGGTGTTAGAAGAGGGTCTTTCGTCAATTTCGAGGCCGAGTTGCTGTACGTTTAAAAGAAACGTGTTGCGCGCTAAATTTTGTGGCACAGTTTGCCTTTCTCAGTCTACACAAAGTTTTTCTTCGTAATTCGGATAAGTTAGTTGTTGGTCAAGTAAAGTTTAGAACATTTTAATTAAGTAATCAGCCGAGTATGGAGTGAAAGTTTGAGAAGAAGTGAAATTTGGGTGAAGTTGTCTATTGTTCCGAAACAGCCATCATTTCATCGGCCGTGTTTTGTCCAGCCAGTCTAATTCAATACAAAGAGATTACGGTCTTTGTTGTCCCGAAGAGGAAATAAGTTAAAGAGAAAAAGTGTAGTGCGCCAAGATTGTGAGTGCATTTGTTCTCTGTTGCAGTTTGTGGTTTTTGCCGGATTTTTGGATTTTTAACAGTTTAAGATTTCATTAATTTGTTTAATTGTTATCGAAGGATTATGCGGGGTGTGTAAACGGACTTTGTTATAGTCCACTTTGATTGGTAGAATGTTGTAATTAATTTGATTTTAGTGTTTAGAATAAATTTTGTCTGTGTTCATTCATATCAATCGTGCGTTTATTGAACCATCTAATGATTCAGATAAATGTCTCATGCTTAATTATGATCAATTTGTCGATTCGTGCCCAAAGTTTGTTTAAGTAATTCCTTTGGAATTTAAGGAATTTGATCGTGGCCGTTATTTGCCATAAAATTTTGAATTTGAAGTCGGGATTGAAATTTTTTATTGTGCCGGGAGATATACCCTGAGAACATTTTAATAAGAGAGGTTTAAAGTGTGTAGGGCTCATTTTGCCCAGGCTTTCGCACAGAGCATGCGTGTTCCGTATCAGAAGGCATTATGGAATCGTTCCAAAATATATTTCTTTGTTGTGATCGGAAGAAAAGTCCAAATGCGTCCAATCCGGAGACTTAGGGGGTCAAATGTGTGGACTGTTTATGACAAACCACCTATCTTCAAACAAAATAAGTATTAAGGTTTCTTCCAACTACATACGTTGTAATTGTGGGCCAGAGCGCCATCTTGCTGGTAGCATACTTTCATCTGCTGTTGAATAAGCAAATTTTCAACCTCATCGTCCACAGCTGTATTCAACATTTCGACATTGAAGTATTCTTCATAAATGACTTGGTCGTCTTTCAAAGCACTGAAGCGTGAAGACAATGAAGTTCCACACATTATTATGCCTCCCATGTAATATTGGCCCATCGCTCCATACAATATTTTTAGTTTGCATTTTCTTGACCTTTGATCAACATTAACTCACAGAAAACCATCCGGTTTGGGGGATCTTGGGGCTTTAAATGGTCTATAAGTTAAATACAAAAAGCTTTGTATTTATGTTTCTTTAAAATCCCGTAACGATAGATCGGAATGAATTCCACAGTATCATTAATGGACGCAGTTGGATTGGAGTGAGCTTAAAAAAATGCCAACGGATTGATTACTATATCTGAGTATATCTTCTGTTACGGTATTCTGCCTGACCTTTTTGGCAGTAAAACTTCCCGAACTTCGGCAATTTTTCAACTCGGCTAAATTCTTCCAAAACAGTCAGAGGAGGCCATAGACAATGCATACTAAATTGACCTCAATTTAAAAAAAATGGCATAAAAAATGGGGGTTTGCCATTTAAAATAAGGAAATTGGTGGCTATTTCCGGTATAACCGGAAGTGCTAAAAAACTATTTTAAAAAAATAGGCCAACCTTTGTGTGTAAATTTGTATAAGCGGATTATTTCCACTTTCCCATATAAGGCTAATTGTCCCTTTAAAAGAACAAACGCGATACAACCCTTTGGGTAGGTATATAGCACTATAGTTGCAACAACTGACTAAATGCGGTTTGCGTTAATTGCGCGATAAAATAGCACAATTCCTTATTGAAATACGAAACGTTTGTGTAATTATTTACAGCTCTCCATTCACAATTGACAACGACCTACCGAGCGTATAATGCATTACTGCGATTATAAAATCCTACTTTATTGTTTTCGATATAGTTATCTAGTATAACCGTAATACTCAATATTTATAACAATGGACTAGAAATCTGCTTTAATGTCCAATTACTCCAATTCGATAAAACCTTGCAAAATACAGCCAAGAAGTATATAAAGAAGTTGCAATGGCTATTAGCCTCATTTGCGTTTGTTCTTTTCCACATTAACCAAGGTAAGAACTTTTTACTGTAGTTTTTCTTACGTACAGTCAAAATAGCCTTTCTTTCGTCCTCGTCCCTAAAACTGACATTAATGGTTCATCGATATATATTGAAAGTCACGGCTTATGGGACAGCAAATCAATTTAAATCGGTTGCTTTCGCTACTTACATAAGTGGATTGTTGAAAATTAATGATCAACTTCAAATTTAAGACTTGGAATAAAACATCCCTATATTATTCATTCATTGTGTTCGAAGAGGTATAAGATAAGACCCGGGAAGAAAAAAACAAAATATTTAAATAACTTTGAAATAATTAATTGCCTGAGGAGAGGAGCGACAATTTACATTAAATGCGTGGGTGACACGGTAACGAATTTTACAGT